TAAAGATTGGCTCACATTTAGTTCAAAACTACAGATTTTCTCTCTCCCTGCCCCCCATAATCCTAGTATGGGAACCTTTTATTCTTATCATCAGGTTTGTATTTTTATCCCTAACACTTAGGCAGACAAGGGGCAAACAAAGTACCAGTAACTTAATACCGTATAGCCAGGGACAGGTCTAGTCAAAATGCATAAACATCTGAAGTATATGGAGAGGAGAAATAGCAAGAGCCAAACCTGAACTGAGAGCTAGTCTATTAAAGACAGAGGAATTAAAAGCAATAAGCATATACAAACCTGTTGCTTGAAAAAGGGCACTTTCATTTTTTAAGTGTGAGGAGGATATCTAACCCAGTGTCAAACACATAGTATTCAAAAGTACTTGTTGAAGGAAGAAAAAGACAAAGCAAAATTTAAGGTGAGATCTGAAGAATGAATAGGAATTAGCTAGAGAAAGAGGGGTATGGATAGGGGAAAGAGCTTTCCATGAATAAGGAGCAGCAAAATGTTGAAAGACCATGGCTCCTAAAACTGAATTTCAATATGGTTATACTGTCAAATATAAGGAGAGTAGAAATGAGGCTGAAGAGATTTGGCAACAGCCAGATCCTGGAGGCCTTTGATAAAGTTTAACTTTGAAGGGTTGTAAGCCAAAGTGGTAATATTAGATCTGTGTATAATGGAATATGGGATTGATTGAGGAGAGCAAGTTGGAGTTAAAGCATTGGTCAGAGAAGAGATCAAAGAAAATGTCTGGACTAGTGTAGTAATAGAGATTCAAGAACTCTAAGGAGGTAGAATCTAATTAATGATTACTTAACTGAGGGTGTGAAAGAAAAACAGCAGTCTAGAAGAACTTAGATTTCTGACTTGAGTGACTGAGTGAAAGTGTCCATGAACTGATAAGGAATAGCAGAGATTTAGTGGGGAAGACGATATGGTTCCAATTTGAATTCATTGAATTTGAGATACCTTTGAGGCATCCATAGTGTTGTCTCCTGGACAGTGGGACATACAGGTCTACAGCTTAGCAGGGGAGCCTGGACTGGAGTTAGCCTGTTGATAATTAAAGCCTTAGAACAGAGGTGTCCACCCAGGGAAAGCACAGAGTGTAAGGTAAGAACGTAGGTCTGAACCAAGGAACACCAACATTTTTTTTTTATTTCAGAGAGGAAGGAAGAGGGAGAGATAGAAACATTGATGAGAGAGAATCATTGATTGGCTGCCTCCTGCAAGCCCCCCACTAGGGTTCTAGCCCACAACCCGGAATCGAACCCGGGGCCTTTCAGTTTGCAGGCCAATGCTCTATCCACTGAGTCAAACCAGCTAGGGCGAGAAATAATAATTTTTATTTGAGGAATGCAGCATGTTAGAAGCAAGGGGACGATTTAGGAGACTAGTTTAATAGTTCAACCAAAAGATTATCAGTGCTTGAACTAGGACAGAGGCAGTGCAGATTGAGGGGGAGAAGGATGTTAGAGCTATTAAAGAAGTGGAAATTGTTGACTGATTGGATGAAGAGAGAGAAGGAATACAGAATGAAGCCCAAGATTTTTAGTTGGTCGGTCAAGTGCATGGTGGAGCCCTTCACCCTGATAGGGAATTCAAGAGAAGAGCAATTTGACATGAAGATTAGAAGGCAGGAGAAGGAAGTAAGTGTATTCCTTCTCCCTCTCCTTGGTTTTCTTCTCTGAGGCCTATAGTTGAGTGGTGACCATGTTCTTATACCTAAGAGTCACCTCTGTCAGGCCTAGAAGGTAATGCAGAAGTAGGCAAAGTAGGTTTATAGTTGTGAGTACATAAAACAGAGTTTATTTTTGTGTTACTTATTATTATTCACCCACTTTTGCCAACCCCATAATAGTGCCACATTGTTGTTAGCCCATCCTGTTGACCTTAATTCAGGCCATGTCTTTATAAATCTCTTCATTAACTCTCCTCAGTAACCCTATTTGGGTGTGCCATCTCTTTCCTACCTGGATATTAACATTTGATATTTGTATATTTTTAATAACTATGTACATATAATTGTATGCTTGTATATGCATAAGAAGTATCTGGAAAGATGCACACCAAACTGTTAGTAATAGTTACCACCTGGGAATAGGAAAAGGAAAGGACAAAGGAATAGGGCTTTTATGTTAATACCATCAGAATTCCTTAATAATAGGCTTGTATTACTTTAAAATAAAAATACTAATAGTTTTAAAAGTAAATTCAGAACATCAATCAGCCTAGTGTAAGAAGTTCAGTAAGATGAAATCTCCCTAAGAAACACTTGGACGGGGATTAAAAATGGTGGCAGAGTAGGATGCTGCTGCAGGGACATGCTCCCAGGAACAAGCTGGAATTACAACTGAAATATGGAAAGGCTTCCTGAATAACCAATGGAAAACTCATAGGAGAGAACCCTGATACACAGGACCAAAGGTGGAGACTGCATAGAGACTGATAGGAGGGGCAGAGGCATGAAAGAGCTGGCCAGGCTCCCACAGATGTCAACTGAAGTCCCAGAGATATATCTCAGCTGTGCGTGTGGAGGGGGAGGGGGGTTGCCACTGAGAACTCTGGGATGTAATCCTGAAGCTGGGCTCCCCAGCAGAGACCACCAAACTGAGGAGGGTACCCACATAACATCTAGCTGTGAAAAGCAGTGGGGTGCTGTTTGCCAGGGAGTGGCAGCTGAAAGTTCAGGCACCCTCTTAAAGGGCCAACACACAAAATTCCCTGTGGAGCCACCCACCTTGCATTCTGGCAGAGCGAGGGTGAAGTGGACTGGAGCTGTGAGAGCAGAACCCACGACTGGGGACTCAAGGGATAGAACTCAGAAGGTAGACACCCCAAGTTTCCTGGGCTGAGTCATTCCCTCACACAGTGGAGGACATCTTTCCCACACAGACATTGGCCTTGCCTGGGGGGAAAACAGTCCATACACCCTATTGGAAAACACTTTGACCTGAGACCACTTAAGAGATTAAAAGTAACAATTAGCCTCCAGGCAGAAGCAACTGCCCACCCTGTTGAAAAAACTCTCACCACACTTGAGGACATTTGTTTGGGGGCAATTCAAGTCTGGAATCCTACTAGTCTGTAGCAGAGGTGGTCTCTGGAGGCTTTGAGTCTTTGCCCGATCCAATTAGTCAGAAACAGCTTTTAATGCTGTCCTGCACTAGAGATTGAGAGGTATAGAGGATTTACCTAAAACATAGTCACAAACCCAGACAACCAAAATGAGGAAACAAAGAAAAAAACCATCAAATGAAAGAACTAGTGAATTCTCCTGAAGAGATAAATGAAGCAGAGATAAGAAATTTATCTGAAACAGCGTTCAGAGTAATGATGTTAAAAATGCTCAACCGTTATGAAAAAAGATATAGTAACTATGAAAAAAGAACAGTCTGAGATAAAGAATGACATAACACAAAGAACACATTGGTAGGAATACACAGCAGATTAGGGGAAGCTGAGGATTGAATCAGTGAATTAGAAGACAGAGTTGAAAATATCACTCAATTAGAGAACCAAAAAGAAAGAACAATTAAAAAATAGGACGACAGCTTAAGGGAGCTGTGGGACAATGTGAAACGTAACAGTATTAGAATAGTACGTGTGCCAGAAGAGGCAGAAATAAAGAAAGGAATAGAGGTGTTTGAAGAAATAATGATAGAAAACTTCCCTAGCCTGGTAAAGGAAAAAGTCACACAGTGCAGGAGGCACAGAGAACCCCAAAAAAGAAGAACCCAAACAGACTTACACCCAGACACATCATAATTAAAATGCCAAAAATTAAAGACAAAGAGAGAATCTTAAAGGCAGCAAGAGAAAACTGTTACATACAAAGGAGTTCCCATAAGGCTGACACCTGATTTCTCATCAGAAACTCTACAGGTCAGAAGGAAATGGCATGAAGTACTCAAGGTAAGCAAGGATCTGAGACCCGGATGACTATATCCAGCAAGACTATCATTCAAAATAGACAGTCAAATAAAGAACTTCCCAGACAAAAAAAGGCTAAAGGAGTTCATCACCACCAAGCCAGCATTATAAGAAATGCTAAAGGGAATGCTGTAAGAGATTGCTGAGAAGAAACAGAGAGAAACCTAGCCATACAGAATTAAAATGGATATAAATAAGTACCGCTCAATAATAACCCTACATGTAAGTGGATTAAATGCTCCAATCAAAAGCTGTAGGGTAGCTGAATGGATTAAAAAAAAAACATGACCCAACTATATGCTATCTACAAGAGACCCATCTCAAAACAAAAGACACACACAAGATGAAAGTGAAGAGATGGAAAAAAAATTTCCATGCAAATGGAAAAGAAAGAAAAGCTGGAGTAGAAATACTTATATCCGACAAAATAGACTTTAAAAGAAATCATGCTAAGCAAAATAAGCAAGTTGGAGAAAGAGAAATATCATACAATCTCACTCAGTTGTGGAAAATAATGAACAAGATAAACTGATGAACAAAATTAGAACCAGAGTCATAGAAGCATGGAACAGACTGTACAACCTATGAGGGAAGGCGGGGGTGATGGGGTAAGAGATCAACCAAAGGACTTGCATGCATACATATGAGCAAAACCAATGGACACAGACAATAGGGGGGCTGAGGGCTTGTGCTTGGGGGAGGTGGTGGTGGGGGAGAGGTCAATGAGGGGAAAAAAGAGACTCATGTAATACTTTAAACAGTAAAGAATTAAAAAAAATATAGAGCCAGAGGGGGGGAAAATATTCTAGAAGTAATCCTGTTATTTGCAGATTTTTAATATTTCCTACAACTTTTGGGATACCATACTATGTTAGTACAGTGTTGGTAATATTATTAAACTTAAAATCCTTTTATTCTTGAAATATTAATGTTTATTGCATGTAACATCATATTTAAAATTGTTTATCTTGAAGTATTGTTTATTGCATGTAACATTATTATATTTAAGATCATTTTTCTTGAAATAAAAAAGACTTAAAAAAAGAAACACTTGGACAACAAAATTACAGAGAAAAACACTAAACTTTAAATAAAATTTAATGATAAATACATATCGATAGAAATAATTAAATTCTTGTATGAAGGCAGCATCCAAGGAATCTCTTCATTTTCATGGCTCCCAGCCCTTCCCTCCGGGCTGATGGGGCAACTTGAGACCCACCAAGCCAGCTGCCTCCTCCACTGAGCGCTCACCCTTCCCATGAAATTCCTGATGAAGGGCCACATGTTCACGGACGCTACGGAGGAGGCAGAGATAGGTGGCAGCTTGGAAATGAAGCTCATGTTGGGCTCTGCACAGCTTCTCACTGGTGACCTAGAGAAGTAGCAAAGTCAGATGCTTTATCAACAGCCCAGCTAAAGGCCAAAGAGTAAGATATAATAAACATTCTCTAGAATGAAGGAAAATTGCAGAGAGGAAATAGAAACCTGTATTTGTGTATACTTAATAGATATATAGAGGAACTCTATAATTGTGATGATTAGGAAAGCTGACCTCCAGTTCACAGACAAGTTTTACACCAGGTGGCTCAGTTGGTTAGAGCAACGTCCCAATATGCCAACGTGTCAGGTTCCATGCCGTGAGGGCATATACAAGAAGCAAGCAATGACTGCATAAGTGGAAAAACAAATTGATTTCTGTCTCTCTTTCTAAAATCAACAAATAAAACTTTTTTTTAAAGGTGGGAAGAAAAAAAGAGTTTTACAAAGTTTCACTGGGATGTTTCATTGAGTGACTGCACATTTTAGAAGAAAGTCATCTAGTTTCAATTCTCTCATTTTACAAATAAGAAAACGAAAGCCCAGAGAGGCTGGGTGGTTGGTTAATGGCAGAGGTGGGTAATTATAATCAGGTCATGATCATTAATATCACTTCAGAAATATAATGTAGAACTTTCTCCCCTTCAAACCAATGAAGGGCTGCTTCTTATGACTGTGGACTTCAGTTAATATGGAATATGCCTTTCATTTCAATGAAAACTTAAAACTTATTTTGTCTGTAAAGTAATAGCTTTGTCCTCAATAGTAATGAAATGGTTTTGCATATAAAATATGTATATATGCATATTACTTGTACTCACTCTTACAATTTACTTATCCACCTGAAAAATCTGGATTTTTGATAACCTTAAGAAGCTGGAGACTTCATAGCCATTCTGAAGTTCTCTAAACCCTGTTTCTTCTTCATCATAATTTCCAGATGAAGGAAATTATTTCACTGTTCTTTACTTGACTAGTTTTGAGGTTGTGAGAAAGGGGCAGGAAGGTAGAGATGGAGATGTGTACATAGCCTCAAATGACTTAAGGAGCCCTGTCCAGTGTCCATTAATCTCTGGCACCACTGCCTACAGAATCCCCTTTCTTTAACCTTTATTTAAATACCTAGGGTTGGAATCTGAAAACTAGAGTGTGGCTTAAGATCTGCAGATCACATATGGGAAAATGCTACTCATAAGCTGCTCAAAAAGGCAAAATTCATCTGCTTCAATAAACTTAATTTTTTTTTTTTTTTAGAGTGGGAGGGAGAGAGAAACATCAATGTGAAAGAGATAGATTGATCAGTTGCCTCCCGTATCTGCCCTCACTGGGGATTGAACCCTCAACCTAGGTATGTGTCCTGGCTGGGAATCAAACCCGAGACCTTCCGGTGCACGGGCTGACACTCCAACCAACTGAGCCACACTGGCCAGGGCAATCAATTAAAAAAAATTTTTTTATAATTAAAAATTTAAGATTAATACCATGTCAAACATCAGCAAAGGGTAATACCCACGTGTATAAACCTAAATTAATAGGATTTGAAACAAGAATTATATGTTAGTAAAGGACAGTGGTTCTCAACCTTCCTAATGCTGCGACCCTTTAATACAGTTCCTCATGTTGTGGTGACCCCCAACCATAAAATTATTTTCTTTGCTACTTCATAACTGTAATTTTGCTACTGTTATGAATCATAATGTAAATATCTGATATGCAGGATGTATTTTCATTGTTACAAAATGAACATAATTAAAGCATAGTGATTAATCACAAAAACAATATGTAATTATGTATGTGTTTTCTGATGGCCTTAGGCGACCCCTGTGAAAGGGTCATTCGACCCCCCAAAGGGGTCGCGACCCACAGGTTGAGAACCACTGGTATAGGACAAGAGAATACTGACCTTGATTTAGGCCTTAATCATAAGGAGTCTGAAGACAAGGGTCAATCAAAATGTAACAGTATGCCTTGCCAGTGTGTTTCAGTGGACAGTGTTGGCCCTCCTACGGAAGGTTTCCGAGTTCGAATCCCAGGGAAGGGCATGTACCTGGGCTGCAGGTTCAATCATCAGGAGGCAACTAGTTAATGTATCTCTCTCACATTCATCATTCGCTCTCTCTCCAACGCCCTGCCTCCCATCCTTCCACTCTTTTTAAAAAATCAATCCCCAGGTGAGGGTTAAAAAAAACAACAAAAACAGTAAATGAATCATGAGAGAGACCAAAAGAGCCCGGCTGGCGTGGGTCAGTGGTTGAGCGTGGACCTATGAACCAGGTCAGAGCACATGCCGGGTTAGGGGTTGCAGGCTCCATCACAGTGGGTGCAGGGGGCAGCAGATCAATGATTCTCTTGTCAGTTCCTAATATTATGACCTTTGAACAATTAGCTAAATTTTAGTTCTGACATTTTGCATTCTAACTCCCATGGCTCAGAAATTCAATATTTAGGTTAATGATCTCCAGTTTCCCACATTGTTCAAAGGACGGCAAGTTTCCTTCCACAGAGCCAAACTGACTCCAATTTATTATTTCTGAGATAGGCTGCAATCTCTCTCCAAGCCAGACCCTGACTTCAAAGGCGTTCATTAATGGACTCTAGTTTGGGAAGTAGGGAACCTACATTTTAGTTCTCATACGTGTCCTTGGAAGGGTCACTGTCCCCGAGTCTCAGCTGCCCCATTTGAAAAATGAAACTATCTTTCATCGCTCTTGCCCAAGGGTGATATGGAGTGTGGATTTCTCAAGTATGTTTTCCCACATGTTGCTATTTATCAGCTACATAAGAACAAAATGTGTCTGGACATACATGGCGCTCATGTCATAACTGACAGTGCAACCTCATTACAAGTTCCTGGTTCCGTTCCACGAGGCGCCACCCGTTCGGAGCAGGGGATACAACGTCAGGTAAACAGTTCCCGATCCTCAGGAAGCTCCCAATACTTCATGTCCTATTAGTTTCTCTTTCTGCCTCAAAACTTGCTTCTGAGAATCGCTTCACCGGGGAAAGGGCAGGAAATGAAGAGATGCGGCGGCGGCGGGGGACCCCACCCGCCCCGGGGCGTCCACCTCTTCTCTTTCCCTCTGACTCTCTCCTTCATTCTGCAAATGCGGCCAATGAAACCCTCGGGGCCGGCTCCACCCCGGCCCCTGCGC